CTACGATTCTTCCGGCTTTTACAGATCTTAATTTGATTAATTGAGTCGTCTGTAATCGCCTACGTAAGAATCGCCGGGCGGAACTCTGTTTCCGCCTGATTCGCGTTCGCCGGGCGCTGACGTCATCCTGACGTCCGCACCCTTATTTCCTTTTTTTTTCGTGAATTTTAAATATATTTCCTTTTTATTTCCTAGTATAAAATTCGTAAGAAAATCGTACTCATTGAGAAAAATTCTGAATAATTACCAGATATTATATTACATCCCTGTGATCGACCTGGAAAATTACCGCTATTTTTGGAATTTTTATTGAATTATAATTGATATATTTATTTAGAAATACTTCTAAATATCCGAAAATTCGTATTTTCTAGTTTTATAAATTTTATATTTGCGTGATTTAACATACAACGACTGAGTCACGTCAGAAGGCCTCTCAAATTTGTTTCAAAATCCACACATCAGATCCCAATAATAATCTTGAGGTGATAGATTGGTCAAACATGATGTTCAAAACTGTTTAACCATTAGAGAGGCATTGAAGTTATAGAGACTTGTTCAAAAACCTCCCCTAGCTTCCAGCATCTCTTAACATTTAAATTCTAAAATTAGTTGGTAATTTGGACATCTCAAAAATCAATATGACTTTTATACTTCAGATATCATACATCTCAAAACAAACTAATAATTTAGGACTGAAAACTGATCTAAATTTTTGATCTCTAAATGGCTAGATCAATCAAGAAGGGGGTCCTTTGATTGTTAGTATATACTAAGTATGTATATATTTATTTGATTTGATATATTAATATTTTATTATACTACTAAATTAATATATAAAAATATGAAACCAATCAAGAAGAGTCTGTATGCACTATGTAGTTGTTTGACCAAATCTTTTTGTCCACATTCATTTTCATAGAGTTCATGATAGTTCTACAATTCCACCACTCGAATACATTTAATTTTGTTGTGATCAATTACCCTTTACATAACTAGGCTCCATGAGCCAATGATCATTCTATGTCAACTCTAGTCATTGTAATGCTAGATCCCTATGTTACCTACATACCACAAGTGCCTTAATGTCGCATGTGATTATTTTAGTGACATAGCATAAGTATCTCAATCAGTCCATACATAAAAGATCAAAAGATCATTAAGGAATGAAATTAGAACGAAGTTACGAAAACCTTCAACTTTCCTTTAGAAAAATACAAATTGTTGAAGAACTTGAGGAAATTTTGGCCAAGAGCTTGAGACTCCAATCTGATTTTGCTCACAGATCATGAAGACTTGAGAGGATGTGGAAGAGAAGAGAAATGCCCTTTGAAGGAACCACTGCTATCTAATGTTTATCTATTTTCCCATAGTCCTAGAATGGATAAATACCTTCTATTATGATCATGTTGAACTACCCCTTTTTGGCCGTTAGTTGGACAAACTATCAAGCTTAGGTGGACCTTAATGGGTCAAGTAGTGTAGGTTCAAGAAAATACAGAAAAATGACTATAAAATTTGCAAAGTCATAAATCTTTTAATACTTTGAATTTTTATATGTGGTTATTAAATAATATTCAAATTCCTCATTATAGGAAGTTTTCATTTAGGAAACTCACTTTGCATTTGTGATATATTCTCTTTCATAAAAATCATTTTCGTCAAATAGATGAAACTTCTGGCCTATTCTGGCCTATTTTGGAAAAAGAAAATTAAATTTTTCCATATATTTATCAGATATTTATTGCATGTGTCTTCTAATGATGATATACTTTTGGTAGTTATACATTTATGTTAACAAAGTGATTTGACACAAAATCAAAACGTTTGGCTCATGTATAGAATGATACATAAAATCAAAATATTAAGGCTCATGTATAGTAAAATTTACCTCAAAAAAAATCTTGTTCCATTTTTACTCAAATATTCTAACATTATGCCTTTAGCAAGAATTAGAATAATATTAGACATTTCCTATAGTCAAGATCATCCATCTAATCTTTCTGCACCTTTGTATTCATGTGGGATGTCTAAGACATCAATCCTGAATTTAATCCTTCAAAAACAAAGTCTTGCTGAAATATATTCATCATCTAGAATCTTAAATCTTATCCCAAGCATTAATCTTCAGTATAAACCTTCTACACCTTAGTCTTCTTGAAATGTATTCATCATCTAGGGTATTCAGTTTTCTCATAGAGATTAATCTTTAACTAAATTCACATTCTCTATCATCAATTTCAAAATTCCAGATTTATATTTAAACCTTATAAGAAATAACATTGAGTTAATCCATAACCTAATACAAATCCAATAAAAAAAATTAAAATTTTAAAGTTATCACATTAAATCACAATTTAAAATGCCAATTCATAACATGGTCTATACATAATATAAAAAAATAAATATACTTTTGAATAATTAGAAAATCTTGAGCAACATAATGACCATTATTCATTTAATCAATTAATTTAATAAGAATTAAAATTTTAATTAATTATTTATCAAAGATAACTAGCAACTTAGTTAGCTTTCATACTCATGCAATACCTTATAAATGTTTTGTGATTATGACATGCTAATCAATAATTTTCCACTTTAGTTTCAATAAATATTTGAACTTTTGTATCAAAATACAATGTAATAAATTAAAGATGTCAAATTCAAAAAAATTAGAAAAAGTTTTATGAGACACAAACTTTCCTTGAATTCATATTGGATATTTTTTATTATTATTTATATTTCTTGATAAATTTATATCAAAATTATTTTAAACTCATGCTATGAGAATATTTATCCATAGTTTAAGTTCATGATGAATAAATGTATTTAGTCAGCACTTTCTTAGACTAACACACATTTTTTGAATTCTTATTTGGATAATTGTTATTATTATTCTGAGGTACTTATATATTTATATTCATATTCTTTCAAACTCATTATATAAGAATATTTATCCACAAATTAAGTTCATGATGAATAAGCATAATTCGATCTTTTAATTGATCTTATGGGTGCTTATCATATCCAAGGCACATACATTTAATGCTCTATACATTGTCACTCTGCAAAGTCTATTGGAACCAATTCTAATTGTGGAAAAAATACTTATTTTGATGAATACTATCTGTTCTCACTATGGCACTATTTTTTCCTTGTCTTAAATACTATGTTTACCATTTTAAAAATAGTAAAATTAGAAATTTAATTAATTCAAGAAAATTTATTACTCTCTACTCAACAATTTCTTATTATCATGATCATTAAGAACTGCTACTTTTTCCTCAAACATAATGATCTCATCAATGGCCCCTAATAAGTCTTCATATCATGAGTTAATAATAAGTAAATAATATAGTTTTAGCCTGAACTCATAATAAATAGACTTATATTTGTGTTAAAGTATGAAAAGTAGTTTTCAGTTGATTAACGTGAATTTTTGGCTAATTATGTGGTTTTATACGAATTTATATATTTTTTATAGTCTTATTTTTGAGATAAATAAAGAAAATATATATATATATATATATATATATATATATATAACAAAACAAGGGGACTCACTGGCCAGCTAGGCCTGCAAACAGGTCAGAAGCATAGTCAAAGAGAGCTACAAGTAAAAGCTCGAGTGATTAGGACCAATGAGGGCACGTGTGTGCCACTCCCCTTTCACATCATTGGTGGCCAGCCAATTGTGGGGTAAGGAGTGATTGTACATATGGGAGAAAGAGACTCATTGCTTGGAAATGTGATATTAGTTTTTATTCACCTAAAACATTGGCACACAAGTGATGTGGAACTAAACCCACATCACACCTTTCCTTAAAAGGCTTCAAAGGCAGGCAACTAGCATGGGTTTGAATCTTCCCAAAGCTAAAACTTGTATTTTTTATCTGATTATCACAACTTTCCTACAGATCGTCGATTAAGGATTAAGTCATCAGAATCGTTGCATCATCGACGAAATCTTGTCAACACAATTTGCGAAGCATTGTTACTAAAATTACTAAACGATTCGCGATAAAAGGATCACAAGTTCATTGAGTAAAGGATCTTTGATTGATTGACAAATAAGTCATCATTGGGAAAAAGATGATCCATCGGGAGACAAATGCCACCTCTTGAGAGTGTACTAGATGCGATGAAGGGCCTCCTTTTACTACGTGGACCTGAGGATGAAACTCCAAACACACGCCCTATCTCTAGTTAGCCCCTCTATTAGGTGACAGTCACCATTTTTCCGCTCTACTGCGTGACAACTGTCGGAGACGATTCGATGACCCATTTCATTGATCTCTAGACTTTGCAAGGAGAGATCTAAAGATTACCCACATCGTCTTTGACACAGCACATCACATTTTATCAAAATATATCTCATTGCATGAAACTCACGCTAGACAAGCTTCGCAGTATCTACCCCAAAGTCCTTGCTTATCTAATCGCACATGTATAGATGAATCAGGGCATCCCTCGATCTTTAACCCCAATTCCCTAGTCATACAAGAGGAAACATAATTTGCACCGATGCTGCTGACAGCGCCAATGTAAATAATGACATCAACAACCCTTTTGCAAATGATGAATCTGGTTTCCGTAGATTTTGCAACATTCTGGCCGGGTTACGTGCAGTACCCATAGATGGAAAGCTCGTCCAAAGATTACCATCTCAAGTAGATTTCAGTGTGCCAGTCAAGCTCCAGAGAAAACTAACAAGGTGATGTGCTGTACTGATGGTGTGCAAAACATCAATAAGAATGATCAAGAGTGAAAAATAAAGCCTACGGCCTTGCTCTAATGCCCATCAATGCAGCAGAAATTTGAAGAATTGATAACTCGATCACGTTTCAGCTTCGGCTGTATATTCTAAAAGCAATACCACGAGCTTGAATTTGGGATGAACATGTCTTGGTTGAAGACTCCTTGCCCCTGAATCCAAAGAATGAAGAGATTTTGCCCCCCGCGTTCACAAGGGGTTGATCCCTGATTCCACAAGATCGAAAATGGGCTCCTTGAGTCCGCAAGGATATCGGAATCCACTAGCAAGAATTGCTTTTCTTCGTCACATCAAAATATTCAGCATTATCCAATTATCAATACAGCTAGTGTGTTCAAACATGTAGAATTAGGGCGATACTGTTGAGCCTGCCACATTGGCGACACCCACCATATCCACAATGTTATCACTCATTCTTCTTCATTGTAAATTTTGCTTCTTCTAAATTCGAAATTTTTGAGTCTATTCTGCTTTCAATTTTTCTATCTTTTCCTCCTTCTATCTCCCTTGAGTTCAGAGGACTTTTGAGGGACCAAAATGTGAACTTTTGAGCATCTCTATAAGATACATGCTGATTCCTTTTGTAATTATATGTTGCGTTCACTTGAAATTGCCAAGGCAAGGTCCTCCTACAACATATGGCAAGAGTTCATGTCAACTACATCACATTGCATTCTATCAAAATATATCCCATTGCATGAAACTCCCATCGAAGAGGCTTCCACAATATTCACCCCTAAGTCCCTGCTTATCCAATCGCACATGCGCAGATAGATCAGGGTGTCCCTCAGTCTTTAACCCCAATTCCCTAGTCATATAGGGGGAAACATAATTTGCACCAATGCTGCTGCCAATGCCAATGTAAATAATGACATCAACAATCCTTTCGCAAACCCTGAATCTAGTTTTCGTAGATTTTGTGACATTCTAGCTGAGTTATGTGTAGTACTTGTAGATGGAAAGCTCGTCCAAAGATTATCATCTCAAGTAGATTTTAGTGTGGCAGTCAAGTTCTAAAGAAAATTGACAATTTGATTGATAAGACTTCATTATTATGAGTTAATAATTAGTAAATAATATAATTTAGCCTTAACTCATAATAAAAAATAGACTTATATTTGTGTTAAAGTGTGAAAAGTTATTTTCAATTGGCTAATTATGTGATTTTATATAATTTTTTATGATTTTTACAATCTTACTTTTGAGATAAATAAAGAAAAAGAAATAAAAATAAAAATATAGCAAAATGAGGGTTACCTGCCAACTAGCCAGGTGCGCAAGCAGGTCGAAAGTGTAGTTGGGGAGGAGCCGCAAGCAAAGGCTCGAGTGGCTAGGACCGATAAGGGCACATGTATGCCACTCCCCTTCCACGCCACTAATAGACAGCCGACTATGGGGCAAAGAGTAGTCATACATGTAGGAGAAGAGACTTGCTTGGAAATATAATATTACTATATATTCATTCAAAACTTTGGTGCACAAGTGATGTGAGACTAAACCTGCATCACACCTTCCTCAAAAAGGCTTCAATGATTTTAGTACCTATAATATCTCTTATTTATAATAGAGATATATCATGATGACATTATTTGATAAGGTAATTAGAGTACTTATTTCAATCTCTTTCATGTAGGCAGGCAACTGATGCGACTTTGAATCCTCCCAAAGCCAAAACTCATATTTTTTATCTGATTATTGTAACTTTCCTACAGATTACCGGTGAAGGATTAACTGCTATAATTGTTGGATCATCGACGAAAACCTCATCAACGTGATTCGCGGAGTATTGTTACTAAAATTACTGAATGATTCGCGATAAAAGGATCATGAAACCATCAAGTAAATCATCTTTGATTGATCAATGAACAAGCCGTCGTTAAAAAGAATACAATTTGCCGAGAGACAAGTCACCACCTCTTGAGAGCGTACCAGATGCAATGAAGAGTCTCCTCTTGCTATCCAGACTTGAGGATGAAGCTCCTTAACACATACCCCACCTTTGTCAAGTGATAGTAGCCAAAGAGCCACAAAATTACCATTTTTCGGCTCCCTCGGGTGATAGCCATCAAAGATGATTCAACGACCCATTTCATTGATCTCTAGACTTCACAAAGAGATCTAGAGATTGCCCACATTGTCCTTGTCCGAAGAGAACCTTTGAGGCCGTGGACACTACACAATAATCCTGTTGAACGTTTAAGATTCTAGTGCATCATTGACACATCACTGTCGCAATATCAGAACTCTATTTTCCTACTTTCAACTTAATTTTTGCTTCATTTAGTGATAATTTATGTGATTTAAATTTACTAAGATATACTTCATTCAATTACGATTCTTTCAGCTTTTACAAATCTTAATTTGATCAATTAAATCATCTATAATCACTCATTGTTCCAACAATAGTTTCTCTGACTATTCTAAGAAAGTCTTTGTTGTAAAACTTAAAACTCTTAGATGAGTAACACATTTTAAACATGATACTACCGAAAATGTTTCGAACAATTTTTTTGAGAAGTGTGATGAATCCGTTAACATGTGTTAAGATGTTTAGTTCAATGAGAACACAATATTATATCTCAAAGTTTTAACTAACCAGCCTTGTCAGCGATTTATGAATCCCATCTCGTTCAGCAATTAGTCTCTAGTCTCTAGCTCCTTCAAATGATAATATGTCAAGCACATAAATGATTATTTTCTTTCTTTTAATAAAAAATCTTACCCCAGAAATCAATAAGTTAGAAAACTATTCAGAAAACTGAAGTATAATTACACAGTTTTAAGTGCTATCAATTTCCAGTTGACGAATTTTCATTCACTTTGCTTTGTCATAATTTTTTATGAATTTGCTTGACAGTTAGTTCGGCCTCTCTTAGCAGAACAATGTCATCTAAATGCCTTGCATTTAAGAGGGAACTACAAAAAAATTTGAATTCCATTACTAGCAGGAAGTACAACGAGGTCTCTCATTATATAATATCGTCCAGTCTGAGACATATTTAATGTCATCTTTTACTGATCTCCCTAACCACAGGCATCATCAATATACAAAACAAGCAATTAACAAGAGAAAGAGATAGAGAGACAGTTTTAAGGGAAACATCACTGAGGATATTATATAATGGGTTAGCAGTACCCGGCATCAATGAATCCAATTCTCGTTAGTTACAGAGAACATCGAATATCTGTGGGGTCGTGGTGGTTTCGGTGCTGGAAATGTCAACCCTCGTAGCTGTGACACTACAAAGGCAAGCGTGACCCCATAAATGCGGTTACATGTCAGCGATAGTTGTGGATGAGGACAGCACAAAGAGAAGTGAGAGAATCGTTGCCTTAGGGATTTGATCTTCTGTTGGTACCACACGAGGTGTTTATTTCGTCGCTGCGACGCAGAAACCGGGGAAACAGCCGTTGGATGGTCTATAGATTGCACCGTGTCTTTTTAAATGTACCATTGGAGTAATACCGCCACCGCAGTCACGTTTCTTGAATTTTGGCGACCATGAACCTTGAATTCCGAAAGATGACTTGAGTCCACTGGATTATTCAATTCAAAGCTGGAAATGCGAAGTCCAATAATCTTTGACATGGAATAAGGTTGACCTGAGAAAATGAAGAGGGGAAGCTGATCTTCCCTTAATGTTAAATTGGAACGGTAAATAATCAAACATGAGAAAATGTGTCGTAAACCATTGCCACTCAACAAAGGTAACCTCTGATCGAAAGGACTAGGCCTTGAGGTTGCTTGATGTTTGTTTTATTGAAATTTATTTCAGGACATTCATAAGTGTCCGAATATAATGTTTTTCGACTTAATATACCTTTGGTTCTCGTGGATAAATGTTTACAATTAAAGTGCAAAATTGTGATCACTCTGGCGAGAAAGAGAAGAACCCTGGTAGATCACTGAGTTTAAAGCTGCAGAGAGAACCTTGGATACCGGCCCTGGGGGGTCGTGCTGCCTTCTTTGCTGGAATTGTCCAACCTATTCATATCTAATTAAGAAATTGAAATCATGAAATTTTGCTTTAGAAGAAATAACTAGCCATAATCTAGTGTGTCACAATAGAGGACAAGGTCCCCCTTTGCCTCAAGAGAAGGAAGAAGCCATGATTAGCCAAGATATTCCTTTTTATTTATTTTTTACTCTTTCAAAAAAGCACAAATTTGTTACCCTAAATCTCTCTAACAAAGAACCTAAAAATTAGATATAATATGAGAGGGATTCAAAAAAATTACTTTCACTAATCAAATCTTACTAATTTGAACTTCAACCGTACAGCTTTTAGGCGTTACGAAAATTCCATCCCTACAAGCCTTCGAAGCAGGCAACAACAACTAGTTAATTAGATCCATTCATGCTACAGTCCCACGCCCACTTTCTACTGCAAGTATAATTACGTGAAATCTTCCTTAAGCATTTAATCGTCCAAAGATGGGGCAGTCCGTTGTCTCCCGTCTTAATGAACATCTTTCTTCACCAACTTGATGTGAAGATGCAAGATTTTATGAGTAAAGAAGCGGGAATTAGGTATGTGCGCTACGCTGACGATATAGCTTTTGCTATTAAGGAGCCAACTCAGTAAGCCCGAACGTCCCGTTGAAGCCCTAATGGTACCGAAAATATTTGTTCAATACTGAAAAACGATAGAACGTTCGATGTACGGGTTACTACTAAAATGAAAATTGAATCTAATCACAAAGCTTGAACTAGAGGGGACAAGGTCTAAGCATACTAAGGCCTGAAAAACTTTTAAGCATTATCTACGAATTTCACTTGGGTTATCTACGAATGCCTCGTAAGATATTACTGACATTATGATAACAAAACAACGTCTACATAATCAAAACATTTTGATGTACCCTCGGCTGCGTTTCCAGTTAGCACAGCTCACGGGACTGCGACTGTACGAAGTTGCTACCTTGACGGTTGGAAGCTGGCGAGCCGTCACTGTCCATCAGGAAATGGGCACCCTGAAGTGGGACCAGACGCTGAGGTTGAAACCCCGTCTGCATTAATCTCCCCCCTGACCTTTCCGGAGGGGTTAACGTTCTACTCGAGGCGCAGCAGTTCGCCGATTATTGACGTGAACGAATGAAAGAACGTATACACAATTCGGAAGAGACCTAAAAATACTCCAAGTCGTAAGAGTACTTACAAATCTTCGAGAGCCTTCTCGATAGAACGGATGTTGCATTTGAAACGACGACATTTCTAGTTTCCCTAGACACAACGGATGTTGTAATATACTTCACCATCGAAACTATGGAAAACGCATATTACAGTTGAAGAAAAGAGAGATAGAACATCAATGGCCTTATGGATGAGTTTTGAGCTAAGGTATCGATGGAGCAGGAGTGTGTCAACCCCCCCCGTTGGCTTCACTGATCTCAGATAATCAATGCAAGACAAAGTAGACTCCATCAGCGGACGAGCTCAATTGGACGCCATGGAGATGAGCAAGAGAAACAACAGGAGCACTGCCGCCGGGACGGATGAATTTCTTCTCGGTCTTACCTGTCCCGCCATGAGGCACGAAGCTCTCCTATTTCTGACTACGAAACCTACAGGGACACCGTTCATCCTTCCCACTACGTACCCCTTTATATACACAGAGGTTCAGAAGACCGTCGAACGAGAAATATGGAAGATCGGATTTGGAGTTGTTCTCTCAAAAAGTTTCCATTTCTTTCAGTACAACACGATGACAGGGGAACAGTTTGAGTATGAACAAAGAATCCGAGCTAGGCTTCTTCCTCTTGCAGAATTTTCTTTCCAGTGTTATCACTAAGATTCAGAGATCAAGCATCATATGTCCAAGGGAACGGCTATTGAACTTTTAACTTTTCCCTACACGTGGTTCAAAGGTTTGAACATTAATGGGTCGAGCAGCTGTTGATGGAGATTCCCTTGTCAACAAGGGAATTTTGTGTACGTGACAGGGCACTAGTATTTGTTGAGACGAGGACAGCTTGAGTACGAACAAAGAACTCTGAGTCAGTCTTCTTCCGCATCCTTAATGTTTTAGCAATTCATACTCTTAACGAGATAGCACCAACGAAGGTCCTAAATTCTCGACGTCTGCATACATACTCTTTAAAGTTTTTCTATGATCAAAGGAAGAAAACTGACATTAGTCAACTTCCGTGTTCCTATCGTATTTTCAGTATACGTTGAAGGAAAACCAGGAATCTTATGTTTCTGATGAGGGTAACCTGAAGAAAGAACAACCTCTTTTCTCGAATAGACAAGCTGAGGCCTGAGACCATCACTGGAGGAGAGAGCACAGCGAGAGGCTGGGGCCATAAAACACCAGGGCATAAAAAATCCACAAAATGGGGAGCCATTCAAATGAATGGACTCCTATATGAGGATCGAATTTCAGCATAAGTAATGAAATATTCAAAACATTACGGGTAGAGCCCAATGCAAATACTAACCGCTAAAAGATTATTGGAAGTTAATCAACCCCACGAACACATTTCTCAATACAAATACTATTCTTTATCAGCTAAAACAGCACCAGGTTCTTGGTTTTTAGTGACTTATTTATCATTTTTACAAATTGGCTAATGTGGAAATCGACTCATTAAAAATTCATTGCTACTCTCTATTTGATGATTTTTCTGTCTTACGGTAATCAATCATTGACAAATATTCATTTCAACAGAAAGAACTAATCGTTCTCCCCCAATCTATGTTTATCTTGGCAGATGAGAAATTCATAACTTTATTTAAACTTAGAGAGTTCTTAGTCACCTGATCGGTTAGTCTAGTCACTATTCAGTGACGAACGTTTTGTACTATATAGACGAAAAGGCAAATCTCTCAATCGTCAGAAC